CCGCGCCGCGCGCCCCCCGCCCCGCCGCCCGCGCCCGGGGCCTGCACAATGCACGGCGCCGCGCCGGGACCCGTTGCCCCAGGCAACCGCAGGACGCCACGTGGCGCGGCGCGGGCCTCGGGTGAGCATCGCCCCGCGCTCCGAACCCAGGCCCGTCCTGCTCCCGTCCCAGACAGGATCCCCTCCCCCACCTGCGCCCTCGAACCGAGCTTGCAGGCTCAGAACCCCAGAACTGACCTTCTCACCTCCACCCGCGCACCCTCCCCCGCTTCTTGGAACTCCGGCCCTGCCCATTCCTCCCTGACCCCAGACCTCCTCTCTGTAATCCCAGACCTGCTCTCAACCTGATCTGTGCCCTGCCCCCAGCCCAGACCTGTCCCCAAACCCAGACCTATCCCCAGCCCAGACCTATGCCCAGCCCAGACCTGCCCCCATCCCTGACTTGCCCCCCAGCCCAGAACTATCCCCAGCCCAGACCTGCCCCCAGCCCAGACCTGTCCCAGACCCCAGACCTGTCCCCAGCCCCAGACCTGTCCCCCAACCAGGGCCTCAGACCCCTGTCCTGCTCCCTGGCTTTGCTCCTAACTGCTATCTCCACCAGGGCCCAGAGGCAGGAAGGCCAAGCCGCTGGAGGTCTGCATGGAGGAGAGGAAGAGGCTCTGGTCCGCTTCGTCGGGTGGAGACAGGAGAGAAGAAAACAGTCTGTATTGCCCGCGTCCAATCCACTCGCTTAGAGCCAAGTAGTGCTCAGATGTGCTGTCCTCCTGTGGTCAGCTGTAACGAACCACGTGCACGGGGCGGGGGACCCAAACTGCCAAGTCTGCAGGACGCGGGCACCTTGTCCAGGGCCGTGGCTGGGGCCGTGTCTGGGGTCATGTCCAGGGTCATGTCTGGGGCTGTACAGGGCGCGAGGCCCCGTGGGGTGCTGGGTGTGTTTGGGGGGCTCCCGCTGCTCCGGCACCACCCCCCCGCCCCCGGTCATCTTCCCGCTGGGAAAGTGGAGGATTCGGTGTTAAGGGCCCCGGTGGTAGCACTGTGGAGAGCCCCGGTCGCTCCTGTCTTAGTGACTTCCCTAGCTTGCCCGTGGTCAAACATGGTGTTTATTTCGTCGGTAAATCCCACCGGGGAGTAGAATTGCTGGGTGTTCATTTGGTTCTAGAAGATGCCGCCAAGCAGTTACTGGCCGGAGATGAGAGTTCCCGTTGCTCCCGTCTGGGCCAGCGGTCGGAGTTGTCCTTGGCTCCGGGCAGCCTGTGGTGTCCGTGAGTGTCTCACTCTGGCTCCGGTTTGCATTTCCCGACAGTGGTGCCGGCCCTTTTCACGTACTCACGGCCACTCACAGCTCCCCTTCCGTGGAGGCCTGTTCCGGATCTGCCGGCCATCATGAAATGGGGTCGTGGGTCTCACTGACTTACGGGAGTTATGTGGAGGTGCCGGATACCAGAGCCTTGTCGGGTAGATGCGTCATAAACACCAGCTGGCACGTCAGTGCTTAGTGATTCCTTCCGATAATCAGAACATCTTAGATTTAGTGAAGTCTAACTGTCAAACGTTTCTTCTATGCCCAGTGTATTCTGTGTCTTACTTAAGAAATCTTTGTCTGTTCCATTGTCCACAAGATAATATTCTATGTTTTCGTTTAGAAACCTTACAATTCCACTTTTCACATTTAGGTCCATGACCCGCTGGGACTGAGTATTGTGTGCGGCGTGAGGTAGGGGTCTGTGGGTCACTGTTCATTGCCGTCCCCCCATGAACATCCAGTTGACACAGCCTCCACCCGGCAGTGTCACCGTTGTGGACAGGCAGGTGTAGGCCCATTTTTGGGTTCTTCATTCTGTTCTGTGGAACTTTCCACTGTCCTTATTCCACACCACCCTGCTTTAATTATGGGACTTTGTAAGTCTTACTGCCTGGTAGTAGACGCCCCCCGACCTTGTTCTTCTTCAGGTTTGTGTGGGTTTTCTTGGACTTTTGCACATTCTCATAAATTTTAGAATCAAATTGTTAATTTATACACATGTACAAATCCTGCTGGAGTTTTAATTGCGATCACATTGAATCTATACATCAGGTTGGGGACAATTAACGTCTTAACAACACTCAATATTCTCACCTATGAGCATGCAGTTCTCTGTTACTTCTTCTTAGCAGTGTTTTGTGGGTTTTCAGCGTGTAACTACGCCAGACTTCTTTTGTTAGATTTACTCCTAGATATTTGATGGTTTTTGATGTTGTCGTAGATGACATTCTTGAGTTTCATTTTCTAATTGTTTCTTGTATATAGAAATACGGTTTATTTTAGGGTGCTGGTGTGGTGTTGGGTGACCTTACAAACACACCTCCTAGTTCTAATAGCTTGTAGAGTCATTCACATTTTTTATGCGCAATCATCATCTACAAATCTTTCATGCTTTCTACCTTCTATTTCCCTTTCTTGCATTATTGCATTGGCTAGTACTTTCAGTGTGATATTAAATAGAAATGGCACGTGGACGTCTTTGTTCCCAAATTCAAGGAGAAAGTGTTCAGCAGTTCACCGTGAAGTATGATGTTGCTATAAGCTTTAAAGGAAGTTATCTTTTATTCCTTGCTTGCTGAGAGTTTTCAAATGAATAGTTATTAGCTTTTATTACATGCTTTCTTCTGCATCTATTGTGATATGTTCTTTTCCCTTTAGTCTATTAACGCGATGAGTTACGTGGATAGATTTTCAAATATTAAACCCACTTTGCGTTCCTGGAATAAACCCCATGTGGTCACATTATATGTTTTTCTAAGTCATTAGATTCGATTTACAAATGTGTTAAGATTTTTGTGTCTATTTTTATGAGAGAGATTGGCCTGTACTATTCCTTTTTTTAGTCCTTGTAGCGTTTTTGTCTTCTATTTATGGCATCATAAAAAAGGGGGAGGAGTTTCCCGTTTTCCTATTGATTGAAGGGTTCACGTAAGGTGTTTTTCCCTCACATGTTTGGAAAGAGTAACTTGTGGTGCCGTCTAGACCCAGAGTTCTCATTTTGGGTGACCTTTTAATTGTGGAGATAATTTCTTTCACGGAAACAGGCCTATCCAGATTTTCTATTTCTTTTGCGTCTGTTTTGATCAGCTGTTTTTCAAGGAACGTGTCCGTGTCATATGAGCTGTCAAATTATTGGCACGTAGATGTTCATAACATCATCTTTTTGTCGTTTTGCAATGACGTCAATGCAGTCATTAGGGACGGCCCTTATTTCATTCTTGACATTGGTAATTCATGTTTTTTCTTTATTTTTCCTTGATCGGAGGTTAGAAATTTTATCAGTTTAAAAATTGTTTCAAAGATCCAACTTTTGGTTTTGTTAATTTTCTCTCTGCTACATTTGTTTTTTTTTTAATTGAATCCTTCCCTTATCTTTATTATTTCCTGTCTTCTATTTAATACTTTCTTGAGTGTAACTGTTCTCTGTCTAGCCTCTTGGGATAGCAGCTGAGGTAACTGCGTTTGTTTTCTGTTCTAAAGTGAGCATTTGACGCCATTAGGTCCCTCTGACCACTGCTTCAGCTGCGTCGTAATGCCTTGATAGGTCATATTTTTATTTCATTTAACTCACATTATTTTTAAATTTCCATTTGATGTCTCTTTTGATCCAGTTTAAAACTGTGCTGCTTAATTTTTGAACATTTAGGAAATTTTCTAGTTATCTTCTTACTACCTTCTAGTTTGATCCAGCCCGTTGTCAGAGAAGTTAATCTGCACTGTTTCCAGTCTTTGAACTCGGTGAGCTCCGTGGTGCCGCCCGTGGTCTGTGCGTGTGAAGAGCGTGTTTCTCCGCAGCTGTTGGTCGTGGAGTCTGCCTGTCATCAGGTCCAGCTGGTTAGTCGTGCTGTCCAAATTGGTGGTGGTCTGCCGATGCTTTGTTTAATCTTTCATTTGCTGAGAGAAGTAAAAGTATCCCAATATACTTGTGAATTTTCTTTTAGCTCTGTCAACTTACGTTTTTTATATTTTGAAGCTATTATTAGGTATATACACATTTGGAATTTTTATGTGTTCTTGACAGCTTGATCTTTTTAACATCATGAAAACGTTCTCCTTTTGTCTTAATGATTTCATTAAATTTTTATTAATATTTTCTAAATAAATATTAGTATGTATCTAGACATTTACCAAATATTTACTGCGTATTTCTAACAATGACATACTTACATAACCAAACTTTTTTTCATTCTCAATAAAATTAATTAACAATAATCCCTTAATAAAATACAATACCCAGAATATATTCATATTTCCCTAGTTTCCCCCCAAACAACTTTATAGTTGGTTTGTTCACATCAGAATCTGATCAAGGGCCACACGTAGCGTTTGGTTATTTTCTCTCTTAATTGTCTTTTAATCTGGAATAACCAAGCCGATGTTTGAGAGGGGCAGACGGCCTCCTGCTCTGTAGAAAGTCGCCCTCTGGCTTTGCCTGGGCGCTTCCTCCTGGGGGATTCCACCTGTGCCCTGGTGTGGGAGCGCAGGTGCCCCGGGACTTGGCACGCCCCCTCCAGGGGTGCTGAGTGCTCCACTGTGCCCGGGGCATCTGGCCTCGCCATCCTCAGCGCTGCGCTGGCCACTGCCGGCCAGACCCCTCCTGTGGAGTTGCCTCCTCCCGAGGGGTGGCGCGGCTGGTTCCTCTTTAGAGACAGGGTCTCACTGTGTTGCCCAGGCTGGTTTCAAACTCCTGGGCTCAAGTGATCCTCCACTTCAGAGATTAATTTTTGTTAATCTTCTGTATGTATTAAGCCCGAATGGAAATTAATTTTCATTAATGATGTTTCTGCGTCTATTACACTGAGATACAGACTTTTTTGTATCTATTGTAGGATTTTTCCTTGTTCTGTTAATGTGGTGAATCATAAAGCTTCACTTTCAAATCCAGCCTTGGAATCGCCCATCGCGGCCAGGACTGAGCCTCCTCCCCGTCGCCAGGCGCCAGGCTGTGGCCTGCGCTGTGACTCGGGCTGGCTCTCGCTGCCCTGGCCTGGCCGGACGCGGGCATCGCACAACTCCGGCATCGTCAGCAGCGGGGAGGTGGTCGCGCCTTCCCTGCCGCAGAGCGAGTCGTGTGAGAGGAAAGGTTTGGGGGGTTGACGCAGGAAGCCACCATTTCTGTAGTGGAGGATATTTTATATTTTCCATTTCTTCTGATGTCTATTCTGGTAATTTGTATTTTTCAAGGAATTTTTCCTTTCTAAATTTCTGATTTATTGCCATAAATTCATAATATCCTTATATTTTTAAACATCTAAGGAGTTTCCTGTTCTGCTGTTACTTTTTATGCCTTTTCTGTTTCACTCGTCGGTGTCACCAAACCCATGGTTTATTAATTTTACTAAACCTTCGGCTTGACGTTCTGGATTGTATTTTTAAAAACACCTGTTAATGTCTGCTCTTTATTATTTTTCTTGTAATTTCCTTGGGCTTAAATTTACTGTTTTCTTTCTAACTTCTTGGGAGAGAGGCTACCTTCGTTGCTTTTTAGCCTCTGTTATTTTCTAATAGATTTATATACAGCTGAATATTTCTTTATAAACACAGTTTTAAATACAAGCCACAAGTTTTAATATTTGGTATTTTAATTGTCATTTAGTAAAAAAAAAAAAACATACACTTCCTGTCTTGATTTCCTCCTTGGCCGCGGGACTCTGTAGTGTAACAGCCTGGCTCTGCGGGTGTGTGGATGCCCCGGCCGTGCTTTGTCTCGTCATCGTCTCTGCAAAGCGGAGCATTCTCATCCTGACTGGGTCCCACTGACTGATTTTAACTTTTACGGTTAGCGCTTTCTGCGCACCCGTGAGAGATCTTTGCCGAGCCTAAGTTGTGAAGTGCTCTGCCGGGTTCTCCCGGAAGCTTCCTTGTGTGTTCGTGCTCCCGTCGTGAGCTCTCGCCTTTTCCATGTGGAGGTGCGGGTGTTCTAGCACCATCCGCCGAGCGGCTTGGTGCCTTCGTCTGAACGACCGGCCAGGAGGTGTGGCCGTGGGGTCTGGCTGGGACGTGTGCATCTCAGGGGCATGGGCACAGCGGACATTCAAGCCACCAGACCAGGTGGGACGCCCGGGGGTGGGCAGAGCGTGTGGCCGGAGGACTCCCACATTGGGGCCTGGGGGGAGAAGGGGCCGCAGTGGGGGTGGGGGGGACAGAACAGGGGCGGGGGTGCCTGGTCGGCCAAGTGTCCAGAGGCTTTGGCCTGGACGTGCGTGAGCTCAGCTCGAGCTGCGCCTGTGGCGGGTGGAGCCCCCTGGGGGTGAGGAGTCAGCGGGGGAGGGAGGGCTCAGGGCACCGGGAGCGGGGCTTCGATTTTTATTGTAAGACGGGCACCGTACACTCGGTGTGTGCTTGTGGGAGCCCTCGTGTCCAGGGCCGGAGAGGCCCGAGAGAGGCGTAGGCAGCGGGGAGGGTGTCGGAGGCAGACGGCCACCGGATCGGAACCGGTGCCCGGGTGGGCTGAGAAGGGCAGCGACACAGAGCCCCGTGGGGGCCGTGGGTCCCCAAGGCCAGCGCAGCCAGGGCGTGCGCAGGGTGGGGACCAAGGGCCAGGCAGGGGAAGGGCGGGGTGGCACGATGGGGCCTTTGTGGTCGCGTCTCTGCTGTGGGCACGGGAGCGTCGCTGCTCAGTGCTGGGCTGCGCTGTTCCCGCCTTGATGTCTCGTTTCTCTCCTGCAGAACTGAAACGAGGGATTTCCAGAGACTTGGCTTCTTCCCCCAGACTGGACAGATACAGAATAGCAAGACAATTAACGGAAAAAGCCATCAAGGTAAACGCTCTCTGGACTCTGTGGGGAGGCGGATACTTTTTGAACACGGAAATTTATTTTGGAGTTTGGGGTCTGTCGGTCTGGCCCAGACACACTCGCGGGCAGAGGTGTCCTGACCTGCCAGGGCCGCCTGGCCCCTCCCGCGAGGAGGGAGACGCTGCCCGAGCTGCTTCCCATCTCAGTGGGCTTTGGAAATAGGGGTGCTTCTCTGACCCCCACCCCAGGGGCAGCCAGCGCTGCCCATCCTGCCAGGAGGTTCCCAATCAGAAACAGGCTCTTTCTTGGTGTGTGTCCCCAGCCCCCTGGGGACGCTCCTGTCACCTGTGTGTGCAGAGGGGTTTGCACCTCAGGGGAGGAGCTCCAGAATTATGCCTCTGGGAGCTTACGGGGCAGCTGGCACCTGCAGGGAGAGAGGCCACACGCTCGCCGGGGTGTAAGTGCATCCTCTCTGGGGAGCAGGGGCCTCTGCCCGGAACGTGGGCGTCTGGGTCCGGGAGACAAGGAAGGTCCTCACGTCCCGTAAGCGGGAGCGGTGGCTGCACGTCTGCCGCCCTCGGAATCGAAGAGCGCGTGACTTGGGGAAAGGCGCAGTCTCTGTCTTTACAGGGTTAGGGTCAGGGTTAGGGTTAGGGTCAGGGTTAGGGTTAGGGTTAGGGTTAGGGCTATGCGGAGGAGCTCCGGGAAATCCGGTGCACAGTAGTATGCGGAAAACGTCCTCGTTCCCTAAACTTTCTTCTGAGGTGCAACACATATAAAAGCACAAACTGCAGTTGCGCAGTGCGGCGATTGGAGCCTGGACGCGCCAGATGGAGCAGCAGAGCACGTTCGCGGGTTCGTACCCAGCGACCGCCTTGGAGGACGCGGCCACCGCTGTCAGGAGTTCCCTCCCAGCCGCCATTCCCTCCCCCACTCCAAATCCTGGCGCCACTGATGTTTCGCACTTTCTATGGCTGCCCCGGCCCTGCTGGACTTTCACGTGAGCAGAACCACTCAGTAATTTTCAGATTTTCTTCTGAACCTTTAAACATCCCTCTAGGTACTGCTTCAGATGCAGCTCGAAGGCTTTTATTGTGTAGAATGTTTGTTCACATTCTGTTCAAAGTACTTTGTAGTTCATTGACATGTGGGTTACTCGAAAGTATGGCTCTTTTCTTTTTGTTTTGTTTTTTTGAGACAGGGTCTTGCTCTATTGCTCAGAGTGGAGAGCAGTGGTGTCATCACAGCTCACGGCAGCCTCCAACTCCTGGGCTCAAGCGATCCTCCTGCCTCAGCCTCCCCAATAGCTGGGACTACAGGTGTGCACCACCACGCCCGGCTAATTTTTCTATTTTTTGTAGAGATGGGGTCTTGCTCTTGCTCAGGCTGGTCTCGAAAAAAGTTTGGTTCTTAATTTCTATACTTGTGGATTTTTTGTTGTTATATTATATTATGTTGTTATAGCGTAGTTATATTGCACTGGGTTGAGAACGTGACGCGTATGATGTCATTCATTGACATTTGTTTAGACTTGCCTTGTGCCTAACACTGTGTTAGCTTCTGCGGAAGTTGGTGCAGAGTGCTCTAGGTACAGCCATCGGGGTAGGATTTGTGTGCGTCGTTCAAATCTTCTGTGGTCTTGCTGCGGTTTTTTGTCTGTGTGTTCTGTCATTTGCTGAGAGGAGCATGTTAAAATGCCCTATGATAATCTTGGATCTGTCTACTGTGCAGTTTCGTCTATTTTCGTTTTATGTAGTTTATAGCTCTCTTACTAGGTGCATACACATTAAATGTATCTCTGTGGCTAACTGAAGCTTTTTAAAATCACGGAATGATCTTCTTTAGTTTAATAATGTTTGTTTGTCCCAAAGGCTATTTCGTCTCATATTTATACCTTTTCATTTTCTAACCTATCTATAGGCCTTCGCTTTTCACGATCGCTTGTGAACAGCATAGAGTTAGCGTTAAGAAATCTGGCACTCTGCCTTTTAACTGGAGCATCTGGCGTGTGTGTGACAAACCGCAGGCGTGTGTAGGCGTGTGCAGGCGTGTTGCCGCCTTGTTTCATCCACCTGGCGTGTCCCGTCTGTCCAGTTCTTTCTTCTCCTGTTGGGCCCTCTTTTGGGCTGGTGACTTTGTTGATTTCCCGTTGCTCCCACGTCCCTTAGACGTCTTTGTGGTTTCGATGGTTCCCGCAGGAAATGTATTCTGCTGATTTAGCAAAGCAAACCCATTTTCCCCAGTTACTCAGTTTGATCACAACCAAGCCAGTGTGAGGGGCGACCGGGAGGTCTTGCGAAGCTGCAGGGCAGGTCTCGGGCCGGTTCCTAGAGGAAGGCGGCTCAGAGAGGTCCTCTGACCTCCCGGGGCTCTCACGCGGGTGCTGGAACTCAGAACCACCGCGTCTGGCCACGCGCCAGCTGCGTTCCCGGGTGTGGGCGCGCACATCCTCCTGCGGGGCCGTGTTGGTTGTCTGCGCCGTTTCTGCGGTGCTGGGTGCAGGGTCCCAGCCGCCCCACGCTGGCCTGCGCCCTCAGGCCCTTCCTGGGCTGCGAACGGCTCCTCCTCGGCCTCCAACCTTGGGCACCCACGCTCCCCAACACGAGGGACGGTCACCCTCACAGAGAGGACAAGCCACGCAGGACAGTCGCGCACCTGTCCTCAGATCTGCAGGTGCACAGCCGGCCCCGCCCACCGCCCGGGTCCAGACCTCACCCTGCGCCGGCTGCATCAGAGAGCACCGGCTTCCCTGTCCTGCCGTGGCCGTCTGGGCCCGTGTGCGAGTGTGTGTGCAAATGTGTGTGTGTGCGAGTGTGTGTGTGCACTGTGAGTACAAGTGCTCCCTGTGGGAGTGTGAATGAGTGTGGGTGCGTATGTGGGTGTGAGTGTGCAAGTGTGTGCGTAAGGGTGTACGAGCGTGTGAGCGCGTGGACGCACACGCGTGTGGGTGCGTGTGTGGCGTGTCACTGTGGGTGAGTGGTGTGAGTGTGGCCATGAGTGTGGGTGTGAGCGGGAGCCTCTGCACACGGATGACGTGGACACAGAACCGCGGCCGCCCCCCAGTGCCGTGTCCGGTGCCCCCGCCCTGCACACGGCCCACACGCCGCGCCTGCGTGCTTCCTATTTCCGGTGTTCTTCTTGGGGCGGGTCTTCCCGCCGCAGCACAGCCCCTCACTCTGCTTTGAAAACTCCTCTTACCAGGAAACAACCAACCTATTTTTCAGTGCTTTAGTTTAAAACATGCTCTTGCCATCTAGGAAAAGAAGATCTTCTCCATCTGCGGGCACTACCCGGTGATCCGGGCGGCTCTGCGCAGGAAGGGCTGGGTGGAGAAGAAGTTCCACTTTTTGCCCAAGGCTGCCCCGAATGCCGAGGACGCAGGGGAAGAGGCTGCCGGTACAGTATTTCCGCATGGGGCGTCGCTGGGTCCCTCCCCAAGTGTTGGGGTGTCTGACCCCACGTCTCCACCACCCCCGGCCCACCCACCCCAGCGTGCACGCCCGGGCACTGGTCACTGTTCGGGTCCCACGTCCACACCAGGCCAGGCCTCCTTCCGTGGGGGGGTCCCCATCGTCCTCTTCCAGCCCTGGCTCCCACGGTGCCGGCTGAGCCCCCCGACCCATGCACAGCGGCGTCTGCGTCCTCTGGCCCCACCGCGGCCCAGGTCAACCCGTCCTCCCTGGTCCTGGTTCCTGAGCTCTGAGCCTGTCCCCATGCTCACCCCTGGGCTGTCCGTACCGCCCCACACGCCGGGGGTGCCAAGTGGGGGACGCCCACTGGTGGACACAGGGCCCTGCCCCACCGAGGGAGGCCCCGCGTGGAGAAGGTTCCGAAAGGTCGGCAGGTGCCATCCTGCCTGCGGCGGGAGAGCCGGCTGCTGCAGGGGCCTGGATGTGGCCAGGTGGCCAGGCCTCTGCTGTGTTTTGTTTGCAGGTAACGAATGTGAAGTCAAAGAAAATCGAGAAATGGCGTTGGAGAGAGCAGACAACATCCATGACGTGATGGTACGCTCCCGAACGCGTGAGCCGCAGCCCCGTCTCACACCGTCACCCGCCTTGGTGCCCCCACGGCCCGTGTCGCGGGGGAGGGGCGGCAGCTGGTGGGTGACGAGGCCAGAGTGACAATGGGCACCGCAGCTGGGTGGCAGGACCCCGGGGTGGGACGAGCCACTGTGCGTCAGCGCCCCCCGCACCCCGCGCAGGGCTGCCCAGACTACCTGCGCTGTGCGTGTGGGTGACTGGGGGGCTCTGCGTGGCCCGGGCTGGGGTCGGGCAGCCTGGCCGACGCACTGCAGGGCGGGTCCTGGTCACACAGCTGCACACCCCCCTCCCCAGGCCCAGCCAGGCCATCCTGGCTCCGCGGGGACTCTGGCCCCATAAAGAGGGCAGAAGGGCAGCCAGCCGGGAGGGGCGCTGGCTGTGCGTGTCGTGTGCAGAGCACGTGAAGTGCCCACACGTCCGTACCAGAAACACGAATGGGAAAGTGGGCAGAGGCTGGCCAGGCCCCGCAGCGGCCGGCAGGCACCGTGTTGAGTTTGTGGCGTTAACTCTGCGCCGCAGGGCAGCGTGTGCGTCCCGTGCAGCAAGCATGCGATGGGAAGCAAGGCTGTGGTGTCGGCTCGGCCTCCAGCAGGTTCCACGTGTGGGGCCCACGCAGAGCGGACCTCCCTCTTCGCTAGCTGGGGCCTGAGGTCTGGCCTGGGCGGCAGCTGGGCTGCGCGAGGCTCCTGCTCCGTAGACGGCCGAGCACTCGGCGTCCTCACGCGGGAAACGAGGGCCGGGGTCTTTCTAGGGCCTCGTCCACGAGGAGGGCCCTGCCGGCTGACACCGTCCTGGGGCCAGGGTTCCAGCACATGCGTGTGCGGGAGAGAAACATTCTGTCCGCTGCACGCGGACAGGGACACGTAGGGCAGGCAGCCCCGCGGTGACGCTCTGTCCCCACCCCAGTGCGGTGGCGAGTGTGCTGCTCTCTGCTTTGTGCATCTAAGAGAGTTCACAGCGCACTGTATGGAATGAGACTCTGTCTGAAAGCAACAAGAAAAGCTGTGGATGTCACTCTGAGGGCAGGAAAAGGAGCCCAGACCACGAAAAAGAGCAAAGTGCTAGGAATTCCGTCAGCGCTGCCCGTGTGGCTGTGTCTGGGTTCTGTCTTAGAATTTCACTCCGAACCCAACGGGGGTTTTACCAGTGGGGTGCTGCCGAAGCCGTGTCACGTGAGGTCAGAGCCGGGGGGTCCCAGAAATGATGGGCTGTACGGGGTGCCAGACAGGCCGGAAAAGCGGAAGGAGTGTCACTCTGAAAACCCTCACGAGGCAGGAACGAGGGACGTGGGACAGTTCGTGTTGTGAGCAAAGCCATTTCCAGCGGCGCTAATCTTTTTGCGCCTCCCGAAGTTCCTGGGAGCGGAGACCTGATGCCGCGGACTTGGAGGCCGGCCGCGGTCCGCGTGGCGCGTGGCCCCAGCTCAGAGCTGCGCTCCACTGCGGCGGCTGCTGACGACGGTGGGGGTGACTGTGGTGAGGAGGGTGAGGAAGGACACGAGGAAAATGGCCCAGACTGTGACCCATGAAGGACGGAGCCCTGCAGGAGCCGGTGCGGCGGTGCTCACCCGCAGTCCCAGCGCCCTGGGGGCCCAGGCGGAGGCTGCTCTAGCCTGGAGTTGGCGGCCGCAGGGAGCCGGGTCGCACCGCCGCGCTCCAGGGCCAGAGCGGGGCAGCCCGGAGCGGTGCGCGGCGTGAGGACAACCTGCTTCCCTGAAGAGGATGAATTTGCATCGTGTGACAAGCCTGCTTCGAGCTTTCTGTTGCTGCTTGTTTGCTTATTTTTGTTTTTGGCAGCCTGACGGTAAAACGTCGAATACGATTTTAGTTCTCACAAGAGAAAAAGAGAATTCCCGTATCGCACGCAATTTAAATCCCATCGACTACTCGCGGTTATAGGCCAACTGCTCTCGAGGACAAAGGCTTGGAACGCGGGGTGTTGATAGAGACTGTCTTCTGGCCAGTCCAGGTTGGTAGAAAACGAAACGCCGTACTTCCTCTGGACCATCAAGAGGGACGTTGTGGACTGTCACAGCCTGGCCGGCGACCAGATGCTGAACCACTACGGGAAGACGGCCGCCTTCACCACCAAGGTGAGCGGGGCGGGGCTCCGCCCTGCGGTCACGGTCGCTGCCCCGGAACCCCTGCCCCCGCGGTCGCTCCCCAGGGCCCCCTGCCGGCCTGGTCCGAGGCCCCGGTGGGTTGCCAGGCACCTGCCCCTCCCGCCCACGCCCCCCCAGGGTACCCCGGGCCCCTTGCTCTGCCCCTGGGGCCATAGAAGGCCCCTCCCCAGGGCACACGGCGGAGCCAAAGGCGGGGCGGGTGGGGGCCCTGCGCGGACGAGGCGGAGCTGAGCTGCCCCGCGGGCCCCTAACGTGCGGCTGTCTCTGGAGATCGGGCTGTGCGTGAGCATGCGGAGCCTGCCGTGGTACGTCCAGGCGAACCCCGACTCCTTCTTCCCGCGCTGCTACAGCCTCTGCACCGAGGGCGAGAGGCAGGAGTTCCTGGGTAAGCGACTGGTGGCCTCCAGCGGGGGCCGGGCCAGGACTGCCGGGCGAGGCCCTCTGGCAACACCGGGAGGGGCGCTGGAGGCTGTGCAGCGGTCTGTGGCTCTGAGGGGCAGGGAGCCTCACGACACGTGCCCGCTCGGAGCGGCTCTGCCTGTCCCTTGGTGGGCCCCTGGGCTCCCCCGTGCCCAGAGCCGGGGCCGGGCTGGAGCCTGGTTCTGCCGTCGGAGATGGGGGCTGGTGCTGTCAGCAGAGGGGCTTCTGGAAAGGTCCTTCCAGGGCAATGCTGAGACAGATGGGTGGGGCGGAGGCCTGAGGACAGAGGACCAGGGAGAGGACACCTGGCCATGGTGGTGGGGTGCACAGGGACAGTGGCCCTGGGGAGGACGGAGCGTGAGGTTCTGCCCCTGGGCCTGTGGACGGGGCAGGTGAGCCGCTGGGTGGCGGCGGCTGTGGCTGGAGGTCAAGGGAAGCGGTCAGACTCCCAATCTGCAGAGGGGTTGGGGGAGGACAGGCGGGGGCAGAGCGGCCCCAGGGCTGTGGGGGGGGATGAGGCCCTGCAGGCCGGTGCCTGGGCTGAGGCTGCTGGGGGAGCCTGTGCAGCCCGGCCAGTCCCCAGGCCCCGGCCCCAGCTCAGGCAGAGGGGGCGAGGCCTCGGTGTCCTTTCAGACGACTTCCGGCGCACGGCGGCCTCCAGCATCCTCAAGTGGGTCGTCAGCCACCAGAACTACGGCAGAAGCAAACCCAAGAGCCAGCGGGCGGAGGCTGGGAACGGAGACCCGGACAGCAAGAAAGGTGTGTCTGGCGCAGCGGGAGCACGGGCCTCTGTCCCCGGCCTCCAGTAGCCTGGCCAGAGAGTTATTGATTTCATTGATGTTTCCAAAGAACCAGATTTTTGTTTCATTGATTTTTCTATTGGTTTCCTATTTTTCAATTTCATTGATTGCTGCTGTCATTTTTATTGTTTTGTTTCTTCTTACTTTGGACTTAATTTGCTTTTCTTTTCTAATTTTCTGAGATGGAAGCTCAGATCATTGGTTTTAGAGCTTTTTCTTTTCTAATGTATGTCCTCAACGCATTTTCCTCCAAGCTCTGTTTTTGCTGCATCCACAATTTTTTTTGTTTTTGAGACTGGGTGTCACCCTGTCGCCTGGGCTGCAGTGCGGTGGCCTCATTGCAGCTCACTGCAGCCTCACACTCATGGCAAACCTCAAGGGATCCTCCTGCCTCGGCCTCCCAACGTGCTGGGATCACAGGTGCGAGCCACCGCACGCCGCCCCACGAACTTTGATGTTATGTTTTCACTTTTACTTAGTTCAAAATATTGCTTAATTTATCTCGACATCTCTTCTTTGACACACGTGTTATTTGGAAGTGTGTTGTTTAATCTCCAAATACTTTGGGATTTTCCAGCTATCTTTGTTACTAATTTCCAGTTTAATTCCCGTGTGGTCTGAGCGCATACATCGTAGGATTTCTGCTCCTTTAAATTTGTTCACGTGTGTTTTATGGCCGGAACATGACCCACCTCGGTAAACGTTCCGCGTGTCTGTAACTACAGCAGAGCACTCATTTCTATCTGTGCTTGAAATTCAGTCTTTGCCTCACGTATTTGGAAGCCCGTTACCGGGCGCGTGCATAACGAGGACGGTTACATCTTGCTGGAGAATTGACTCCTTTTTCGTTGCGTGATGTTCTTTTTATCCCCGATGATTTTCCTTGCTCCGAAGTCTTCTCTGCATGAAATCGACGTAGCTCTTCCAGCTTTCTTCTGGTGAGTGTTAGCCTGCTGTCTTTCTCCATCCCTTTACTTTGAATCTATGTGTATCTGTGTATTTCAAGGGGGTTCTTATGGGAAACGTAGGTCTTGTTGTTCAGTCCACGCCCACGATCTCTGTCTTTCAGTCGGTACATTGAGACCACTAACTTTTAAAGTGACCATCGATGTAGTTGGATCAACATCTGCCTTATTCGTTGCTGTTTTCTATTTGTTACCCTCGGTTTTTGTTCCTGTTTTTTTTTCCCACTCTTTTCTGACATGTCTGGTTTTCTGCCTTTCGTGGGATTGCCTCACGCCATTTGCGAATTGCAGTTCGGGCTTTCCGACCCGGCGCGCTCCTGCGGAGGTTTCCACTGCAGAGAGTCGTGGTTCTCTGTCTCTGCTTTTCTGTCCCTCCGGCTGGTGGTTGCTTTGACCTCACTTGTCTGGCAGATCTGAGAAGAGCTGATTTCGCGTCTGTTCAGCTTCTTACCTGTCTTTGGGACGGGGTGGAGACTTCCGAGCTCCTTGCGTGCTGGACGAGAGACGAGAAAGGCCATCATTCACTTTAAAGTGGTTAATCTACTTCATGTTCTGAATTTCACCGCAATAAAAACATCCAGTGCTGTTGTCGTCTCCACGGCTGTCACCCAAACGGGAGGAGCCTCTCCTGCCGCGCTGCCTCGGCAGGGCCTGGTCCCCTTCGCAGCCACCCCTCGGTGCAGTGCCCCAGCCGGCTCTGCGCCCGGGTCCCCGAGTCTGTGGCGTTAGTCTCCTTGCTCTTCCTGTCGCTGGTACCTGTGTCCACGTCGCCCCAGAGCTGGGGGGGTGGCTGGCGGTTCTTCTCCGCGGCTCGAGTTCCCGCTGCTCCTGCAGCCGTTGCTTCCTGAGACCCAACCGGGATCTTGAGTCGAGGGTTCCAGAAGGAAGGTGAGATTCCGTGCAAAGGGCCAGATGCACAAAGCCACGGCACCCCCCTGCACAGGTGCTCTGAGAAGTGCTTTGGGGACGGGGGTTGTGCTTACCGGCCACCCACAGGGCCTGTGGGCCTCATGTGGAGCAGGGTCACTCAGAGCGCTCACTGAGTACCCAATGTGTGATCAGAAAAGTATAGTTTGTGAGAGTTTACGAGAAGTACTGGCTGGGCACGGTGGCTCCTGCCTGCGTTGGGAGGCTGAGGTGGGAGGATCACTTCAGCCTAGGAGTTCGAGACCAGGCTGGGCAACATAGTGAGACCCCATCTCTACAAAAAATTTTTAAAAATCAGCCAGGCATGGTGGTACCTCTACTCCCAGCTACCAGGAGGCTGACGCAGGAGCTCGAGGCCGCAGTGAGCTATGATCGCATCACTGCACTCCAGCCTGCACGACAGAGCAAGACACTGTCTCTAAAAAACAAAAAACAAAAAACGAGAAGTGCTATCTCATTGCTACTATAAGGCGTCAGGGTCTGGCCGCAGGTGTGTGTGCTGTGGAGGACGGGGCTGTTCGGCGGGGAGGCTGCCTGGCACCCAGAGCAGCCTTGTAGCCCAGAGTGGCGCGGGGCAGCCTCTGTCGCCTCCACAGGCCGCGAGAGCTGCCCTCGCGGTGGCCCACACCCCACGTGCCTGTGCTTGGGTTTCAGATCCCGAGAACGCGGAAGCGAAGCTGAGGGGCCTTTCGGGGAAGCTCGTGGACACTGCGTGCAGGGTGTGCCAGGCCTACCTGGGGCAGCGGGCGCACGAGGACCTCGACGTGCCGGAGGACGCTGCGGAGGACCTCACCGAGGACGAGTGGAGGGACCTGACCCAGCAATACTACTCTCTCATCCAGTAAGACGCTGCCTCGCGCGGGCCCTGCTCCCGGCAGCCTCTGGGCATTGGCGGCATCAGGGCGCCTGTCTGGATATCTGGGATGCTTTTGGACAGTGGGCACCTGCCTGGGTGCTGGGGCATCTGTCTAGGTACTGGGGTGTCTGTCTGGATACTGGGGTGTCCGTCTGGGTTCTGGGGCACCTGTCAGGTGCAGGGGTGTC